TTATTTGACATTTGACTTGCGTTATCGCATTCATCCACAGAATATTTTCCTACAGTGGGTTATTTCATGATTTAATCTGTAGCTCTTCATCGTCTGTAGCGCCTCTGGCGACTATGAAATCAGTCGTTCTCGCTTAGGTTTTTAAGTGAGAGTGCCCAGGGCATGGCGAAGACGTTGGGGCGAGTGCGTCTACGCTGTCAAAAAGCGTCTTATGGGGGCATTTACACGCCGCCACCCAAACCCTTTTGCGAATTGGCGAGGTTGCTGAACAGCTGCGAAAATGGGGGGTTTCTAGGGCAGTTTCCCGAAGATTGAGAGTTGGTGTGGAGTTTCTGAGGCGCTCAGGTGGCGGTGTGCATCTCAGGGCCGGTTGCATAATCAGGCCTGTGCCGCGCGGCAACCACCACGCGGCCTCGTGGGTGGATAGGTGGGGAAAGGGCGGTCCACCCGCCTGGAAGGGGCAGAGGCGTTCGTCAGGGCGGCCGGCCCTCCCGCGTTTGGCGAACGTTCAGTCGGGCCTGAGTACGCGCTAGTCGATGATCGTGTGCGGTAGACCGCTACTGAGCCAGTTTTTCTCGTCGCCCGCCGTCTCACGTGCTTTCGCTGTCGCGCTGCAGCATGCAGCCCCAATAGACACTGCGACATTTAACTGAAAGTGGTGTTTTCTTTTCGGACTTGCAGGAGCACAGATCGGCCAACATGCACCACGTGACGGGATCCCCGCAGCAGTTCTGCCTGCGATGGAACAACTACCAGACCAACTTGACCAACGTCTTCGACCAGCTGTTGCAGAGCGAGTCCTTCGTGGACGTGACTCTGGCCTGTGACGGACACTCGGTGAAGGCCCACAAGATGGTCCTGTCCGCGTGCAGTCCCTACTTCCAGTCTCTGTTCTTTGAGAACCCGTGCCAGCACCCCATCGTGATCATGCGGGACATCAAGTGGCCGGAGCTGAAGGCGGCCGTTGAGTTTATGTACAAGGGGGAGATCAACGTGTCCCAGGATCAGATCGGGCCGCTGCTCAAAGTGGCCGAGACGCTGAAGATCAGAGGCCTGGCCGACGTGAACGGGGAGCAGGACATCGCCTCGGCCACGGGCGAAGTGATCGCCCGGCCTGCCTCAAAGCCAGCCCCATCTGCGACCCCCACAGCCGCCCCCGAATGGGGCCGAGATTCGCGCTGTGCCGATCAGCAAGGGCAGAATGCCCACGAGGCCGAGGCTCAACGCGCCAAGAAACGTCGCCGATCGGGCGAGCGGAGCAGCATGAGCAGCCCTGCCGAAAGCGCCGGCACTGAGATGCCCGAACCGCCACCATCGGTGGAAATGTCGCCTGCTCCCTCAGGCACCCCCCTGGTCGGCGCCCCGCCCGTGGAACCGTTGCCGTTGCCGTTGACGTTGCAAACGGCGCAACAGCAAGTGACCCACTCAGCTGGCACCAGCGACGACATGGAGATCAAGCCGGGTATCGCGGAAATGATCCGAGAGGAGGAAAGGGTGAGTCCAGTTTGATTTTTGCAGCTTTTTTGCTTCCACCCCCTTATCGGGCGGCCGGGTTCTCCCATTGCTGACCACGCGGGCGAAAATCAGCGCCGGAAAAGTGCGACGCGCGCCATTGGTTTATTTACGTTCGCCACACGTGCGGAACATGTGAGTGTAGATCCACCTCTCATGCCAGGAATTTTTAACGCTCGTTGGGGTAGGACCTTTTGGAGTAGGCGCTAAAATGACAATCGCGGGCCGTCTTTCTCCACTTTTCTCACATACCAAAGAGTCCGAAGCTCCAATATTAAAGGCGCGTATGTGTGACCGACGGTAGATCGTGCGCCCAATTAACTTGTCTGTTTTCACATATGAGCCATAGAAGACACAGAGACACCCAGAATGCACACATATATTTATAATATATAAATAATCGTTATTTCCTATGGAAAAGGGCTATGGACCCAATCGGTCTTTCTGCCCTCAAGGGTCAATCCAGGGGGGGTCAAGGGGGTCATGATCCTCCCCCATTCAATTCTCTATCCAACGATGCCAAAACGAATTCTCTGGCTCGAATGGTTCTTGATAAACTTCGAAAAAAGCAGCGTCATGTTCAAGTGGATTTTGCGACTCAAAAAAAACCAGGCAAATCTAAAACTTCTTGAATTCAAGCTTTTTTGAGAAATCTGCCAACATTTCCCCATCCAGCGGTCTGGCTCATTTTGCCTCCGAGAAATGAGCAAAAACGGCACGGAAAACATGAAATTTTGGCATAATCTTGCACCGAAGTGTCTGATATTCAAATTTCGCTTTCTGGGTCAAAACTACTAGAATTTCCTCACTCACGTTGTTACGACTGAATCGACTTTTCTCTACTCTTCTAAATCCTCTATCTAACGATGCCAAAACTAATTCTGTGGCTCGAATGGTTCTTGAGAAACCTCGAAAAAGCAGCGTCATGTTCAAGTGGACTTCGCAACTCAAAAAAAAATTACGCAAATCTAAAAGTTTTTGAATTCAAACATTTTTTGAGAAAACTACCAACAATTCCCCATCTATGGTTCACTTTCTAAAAAGGCCATTTATTTCTGCCTAGAATGATACGCCTCCGAGATATGAGCAAAAACGGGATGGAAAACATTTTAACATTACATTTTTTGAAAAAACTGGAAACATTTCCTTATCGATGGTTCACTTTCTAAAAAGGTCATTTATTTCTGTCTAGAATGATGTACAAATGAGCGTTCTTGCTCATTTCGCCTTGCACCTAAGTGTCTGATATTCAAATTTCGCTTTCTGTGTCAAAACTACTCGAATTTCCCCACTCACGTTGTTACGACTGAATCGACTTTTCTCTACTGTTCTAAATCCTCTAACGATGCCAAAACGAATTCTGTGGCTCGAATGGTTCTTGAGAAACTTCGAAAAAAGCAGCGTTATGTTCAAGTGAATTTTGCGACTCAAAAAAAAACCCACCCAAATCTGAAACTTCTTGAATTCAAGTATTTTTTGAGAAAACTGCAACATTTCCCCATCCATGGTTCACTTTCTAAAAAGGCCATTTAGTTCTCTTTGGAATGATGTAAAAACGAGAGTTCCTGCTCATTTTGCTTCAGAGAAACACGACGCAAAACGTGACGGAAAACATGATATTTTGCAATAATCTTACGCCACCCTTGCACAAAACGACGATAATTTTTCTATTTTTATAGACACAAGACTGTATTTTTTCTACATAACCCCCCCTGAATTTAAAGCTGGATCCGCCCCTGCCCCCAGCACCGACAATAAAAGCCAAATTTGACCTCTCCCCTTAATTATCGCCTCTCGTAAACAGAAATTCCGACCGCACGAATTGGACTAATTAACCGAATAAAAGTGAGTTTTTTACATAATGAGGCCTCATTGAAGACGTTATAACAGTGCGCGGGAGGATGGAATGCAATTATTGCGTCAGCCAGGCACGCCAATGCATTGCATCATCTACTTAACCCTTATAGAGGGTTAAATTGCATTTTTCGCAAGTGTTGTGGCGTCGATTATTGCGACATTAAGCCCGCGGCTTCCGCATCGCGACGGTGCATAAGACGACGTCTAACGTCGCGACGACGACGCCATCATTGTCGTGAATATCAAGCAACCGGCGTTTAATGAGTTTTTTCTGCTTTTTTATCTCATGAGCATCCACAGCTTTATTTGGGAGTTCTTCATCACATCCACTCCCTGACTCACTAATCGCGCAATTTCTCTCTAGCTGCTTTGCACCTGAGTCGCTTTTTGCATTAGTGTTATTGGCTAAAGCATTTGCTTTAATTTTCGCCCCTAAAAAGGTTTTGCAAGAAAAATTCGCTTTTTCATCATCAGATTTTTCTGAGCAATTCTTCATAGCTAACACCGCTGAACCGCCACCGTCCCCTTATATCACTCTAAAGCCTTAAAACGCTCCCTAAGAGAGCGGCGTATATCTCGGGCGCATTTCCGTGCATACCCGGGGCAAGCATGGGGATGAAGCATTATATGCAGCCGAGAATGGCGCGTTCAGCTGAAATATTTCTTGCTTAAAATGTCGTAAATATTTGCGCCGCCCCACAGCTTATATGCCCGCGTACATAAGCATTTTGTTTTCGGGCCGCACAGAATGCACTCGCTTAGCCACATCGTGTTCCACATTCTTGAGCCTGGCATCGCATTTTCCGAGGTCTTTGGAGGGACTTTGCATCTTGTCCGAACTTGCTTATTTAGTGCTGGGTTTCGAGCTAAAGCTCAGGATTTGAAACATCAACTCTAGGGATGTGTTTTGCGGGCGCTCTGGGCGCGTATTTTCTCGTTGAAACTTCCCGACCAAAAGGCGACTTGAAACCGACAACATTCTTTCCAACTTCTTCCATTCTCATTCGTGTTTCGCTCGTATTTTCATTAAAAAGAGACTCGAGACCACGTACCTAAAATGCCCTGCGACCTCCATTGATTTGTGTTTCTGGGTTTATTACATTTTTACGTCGGACCAGCTCGTATAAACTGGAAGTGTCGGACTATCCAGACTCACAACGGCGCCATTTTTATAATAAGAATGCGCCCGTGGGCAAATGAATTCCGTTTCGTGGCTCAGACGTTCTTTATGAGCCGCTGAATTATGGCCTCAGCACTCGGATTTGCTGATTTTTCATGATTGGATTCACTCGGCACCGCATTATGTTGATTTACTACTTCTAATGCCGCGTATTAGTCAAATGCACTGCTACTTCTGGCTGGATATTTTCGGAAAAATCACCCATAGGCATAGACAGCGTATTGCCAATTTCGAATAAACAAGACCCATCCAAAGCCCGCCAATGCAATAGATCAAGCCGTTTCGTATGTGCATCGGTTCGAGGAAGTTCTCGAATGCAGAAATAATAGTAAAACTCGCGTCTGGAAATGCATGAACTTGCTCGAGAGTGGGAATAAAATGCACCTGCCTCTAGTTTTACGATGCGAGGCATTTTTCTTGTCGCCATCAAACGCCCCTTAAATGCGACTGTGAAGAACAAATGAATTGTGAAAGTGTGAGTGA